CGTGTCGACCGCACCACTCAGCTTGGTGTCGTCAGCAAACTTGCTGAGGGTGCACTCAATTCCGTCATCGCTGTCATTGATAAAGATGTTAAAGAGCACCGGTCCCAAGACAGACCCCTGGGGGACGCCGCTCGTTACCAGCCTCCACCTGGACATGGAGCCATTGATGACCACCCTCTGTCTGCGGCCTTTCAACCAGTTTCTTATCCATCGAGTGGTCCACCCATCAAATCCACATCCCTCCAGTTTGGAGATAAGGATGAGGTGGGGAACCATGTCAAAGGCCTTGCTCAAGTCCAGGTAAATGACATCGGTCACCTTTCCCTTGTCCACCCTTGTCCACCCATGGCCTTTCTGGTATCTGGGGAAGATATCAAATCTAATCCCATAGAATCAAAGAGAATCATAGAGTCATAGGTGTGACAACAATATTCTGGTTCCAGCCTCTCCCATTACAAAGGCATGTCTCATAGTGACAGCACACATATAAGCCCTGCTGACATCTCCCTGGCCTTGTGATGTTTTAAAGAGAGAAACTGGGCCCAAACTGGGATGTTTTCATTGCCATATTTCATGGTGTCATGTCTTTCACAGTTAAAGCCGCCCTATTTCCCTGTTGCTCAAACAAGCATTTGCAGGAGCTCCTAAACCAGCACGAGAAAATCTGCACAGACCTTCCTCTGGCAAAAGAGGCACTGTGAAAGAAAAATATCTTCATATCCTTTTCCCTCGTATGCCTTTGGACACCCTTAGGCAGATTCCTGTGCTGGCCTCAGGGCAACAGGTTTCTTGTCATTAAAATACAGCACATGAGTTTCAAGAAGCAAAACAGTCCCTATCTCTTGCAACCACGAGGAACTTTCATGGAGGTGCAAAGCGACGCCAAACCGTCAGGCTGTGAAGGATTTACATTCACACCTTATTGCAGCAAATACCTGGAGGGCAGGAGATGGTCATGTTGAGCATGGCTCTGCAGAGGAGTTTGCAATATAATGCTCAGCCCAGCCATCCCATGCTTTGCTATGTACTGTAAGTCCTGGTTTGTGCGTCTTTCACAGCAACATGCTGTCAATCAGCAGAGGAAGCAGCAACACTTACATTTCTGGCTGCCTGACATTTCCTACTGCAAGCCCTTCCTTTCAGTTTCTTCTCACTTCCCAAGCTGCAATCTTGCACAGTGAAATGTTCCAGGCCAACTAGCTGCCATGGAACAAATATTCTGGAAGGTTTCCGCTCAAATCAGTCCAGTAGATCGAGACCAAAGCTACCAAGAAAAGGAGGTTTGCTTCACACCGTGTTTCTATGAGATCATCTCACTCATCCCTGACTTTGATCAGATTGGAAATTTGGTGGTTGATCAGACTGGAAACTGGTAGTTCAGCAGTTTGGGTCCCTCAGCCATTCCCCATAAGACTTGTGCTCCAGACTCTTCATAGCTTTGTTGCCCTTCTTTGGATGCAGCCCCCACAGATGCATCCCATGCCCACACATGGGAGCCCCCTGAGGAGCCCCAAGGTGAAGCCAATGAGGGAATGAAGATAATTGGGGCTTCCAGTGGCCTTCAAGAGAATCACAGAATGGCCTGGGTTGCAAAGGCCCGCAGTGCTCATCCAGTTCCAACCCCCTGCTGTGTGCAGGTCGCCAACCAGCAGCCCAGGCTGCCCAGAGCCACATCCAGCCTGGCAAAGAGAAGAGAGGGGTGAAACCCCTAAGGGAGCAGAATCTTTTTGACACAGAATTTGATGCTAAAAAAGAGATAAAAGCTATTTCAGAATACTGCAAGAAAGCAGTTAAAGCAAATGAATAAACAAGTGAGACAATATTAATTGTCTGAAACACGGTCTGCTTGACTTTTGGTTTATAAAGATCTCTCTACTTTAGTTCCCATAGCAACTATTGCGCAAAACCACACTTTTCCTAATCATCTCCACTGAGTTTAAAGCAATTTTGTAATCCAATCAAATGTAAAGAAGAGAATTTGCTTTTGCGTTGAAAAAACTGCTACCTAATGAGCAAACAGTGACTGGGAGAGGCCAGATTTACAATTACGACCCTAGAGAGTCACTTAATTACTGAATAATTAGCGGTTACTGGAGTTCCTCAGCACAGAGAGGAACAGGCTTGTGGGTAATGGCTGTGAGAGGGGCTGCTGTAATTCGGAGGTCTTTCAAGCAGTTTTCCAAGGTGAGAGCAGCAGACCTTACTGTGCATCGCATTCAGGTTGGATATGAGGAGGAAGTTTTTCAGCCAGAGGGTGGTGAGGCACTGGAACAGGTTGCCCAAGGAGGCTGTGGATGCCCCATCCCTGCAGGCATTCAAGGCCAGGCTGGATGTGGCTCTGGGCAGCCTGGGCTGCTGGTTGGCGACCTGCACACAGCAGGGGGTTGGAACTGGATGAGCACTGTGGGCCTCTGCAACCCAGGCCATTCTATGATTCTGTGGTTCTATGACGCAAATTGCATTCAGGAGTGAATTGTATAACAGCAGAAGCTGAGGCAGAGCAGCTTTTAGAATGAAGTTTTGGGGAACCCAAGCCCCAAACCACCATTCTGAGGCAGCTCAGATGCTGGGGAGCAAAGGATGAGGCTGTCAGATGGGAACTTGCTTTCCAAACAGGTTTCTCCCAGCACAGTCCCCTGTGGAGGTGGGTGATGTCTGCTCATCCTCCCCAGCTGTGCTCAGTGTGAAAGCCTGGTTCCCAGGCAGCAAGTCCCACCTGGCCCTGGGACTTCACAGCACCCTCTGTGTGCTCAGTGTAGATAGATAGGGTCAAATTATTTCCCCTTGCAAGGTAGCACTCCCCATAGGAGGAAGTGCTGATGCATTGACCGCTTTCCTGTAATGAAATTCAGAGCCACAGAAAAGCAATTAGCTCTTGACTTTAATTCTTCAGATGCTGAAGCCCATAAAACTGTTCAGAGTGGCCAATTTTCCCATAAGGCCAAAGCTCAGAAACAGCCAAATAAATTAGGCAAGATCAGTTTGTCTTCCTACAGCAATACAGAATGCAGCCCCAGGCTTGTTGTGACTTTCAGGGTCAGCCTGCTTTCACCTTGGGCTCTGAGACAATGACTGCATGTCTCCTGACTCATATGAGCACTCTGCATAATCTCTCAGCATTTCATAAATGCAGGCTCAGTAAATGAGGTCAGGGTTCTGTTGCTGCACCTTGTCCAGGGACTGCAGAGCTTTGGTCCACATTTTGGAATAATTACCTGGCCAGCATTCTGCTCTCTCAAATCAGCCCCAGGTGGGCAGCCACAGCGCTCCTATGATCATCTGTCTGGTTTAGTTCTTTTTGTCAGGACGTGTAAGGGTACTTAAGAGGGAAAAAAAATAATTAAAAAAAAATGCAGGAATGAGGATGTATAATAAGGTGTGTGTGTGTGTATATATATATATAAGTTGTTTTTTTTTTCCCCCATGTGTGACCACTTACTCAACGGGTTGAATTGGCAAAACTTGTTAATGTCTGTAGCTTCAACTTTGGGCAAAACGTTGAGACGTTCATGTGCTTTGGTCTTTTTTTTTCATTTCCAGTTCAAAAGAAATTAAAGCCCCAAAGAAGGACACTTCCTACTCCCACTCCTACCTGTGGGATCCGTTTGTCTGAGGTGCAGATGTCATCAAGAGAAGAACCATAGAATCCCAGAATGGCCTGGGTTGCAAAGGCCCACAGTGCTCATCCAGTTCTAACCCCCTGCTGTGTGCAGGTCGCCAACCAGCAGCCCAGGCTGCCCAGAGCCACATCCAGCCTGGCCTTGAATGCCTGCAGGGATGGGGCATCCGCAGCAATGTATTGGTCTTTCCTATGTTCTGTGTCTCATGGCTGGATCTCCCCTTCTCTGATCAGTGTTCAGAACAGTTCAGAGCCTCGTAATTCCTCTTTTGCCTCTAATAACTCATAGGCACAGGCTTCAGACTCTTTCTGTGCATCCGCAGTACTTTTTCTCCTTCCTAACTGGATGCGAGCCCAACTTTGGCCAAAATAGCCACAAGTATTGTGGTTGTGTGCAGGGGGGAAGAAACGTGGGCTGACCACAACATCCCCTGTCCCTCAGCTCCTTAGACGGACAACCTAGAAAGAAGGGAGACCGTTATCAGGCAAGAAAAGAGCCTTCCTGTTGAGCACCTGGATACACAGCGGGATGTGAAGATCGGTTCGAAGCGAGGAGGGCTCGTTTCGCTCTCCTCGCTGCCACGAAGCAGCCTCAACTCTGCCCCTCTGTGGCTACGTTGAAAAAAGCACATGGAAGCAGATCAGCAGTCAGTGACCGCACGGTAATTCTGAGCCCTGAGGTGGCGGGGAGGTATGGAGTCACACGGTCATCCTGCTGGGGGTCTGTCAAGCTGTTTCCATAAGGAGCTCGGCGTGCCTTTGAAATAATAATCATTTTTTTAACTGCTCTCATGGGTGCTGCAGGCTAGCTGGCAAGGCTACGAATGGTGGGATATGATATCTGCCCCATCCCTGCAGGCATTCAAGGCCAGGCTGGATGTGGCTCTGGGCAGCCTGGGCTGCTGGTTGGCGACCTGCACACAGCAGGGGGTTGGAACTGGATGAGCACTGTGCTCCTTTGCAACCCAGGCCATTCTAGGATTCTGTGATACGAAATTATGGCAAAGACCCCACTGAAAGATGCAGAGAAAGAAAGGAGCCCTCAAACATCCCATAACAAACATGGCGGCAGCACCGCCTGTAGCAGCGGAAGCGAAACGCTGGCTCCCTATTGGCCAAATCCATCGCCGACGAGCCCGCCCCCTCACGTAACTCGCCTCCCGATAGGCTGCCGCGCTCTTTGAGCCCGCCCCCATCCCTTTGCAGTCACAGGGCGCAACCTTTATGCGCATGCTCAGCGTCCCCGGAAGTTGTGTTGTGAGGGCGCGGCGCAAGATGGCGGCCGCGCGGTGGCTGCGGGGCTGGCGGCTGAGGCGGCCGTGCTGCGCAAGCCGAGCCCGGTGAAGGAACTGTGGGACGGCACGTGGTGGGAATTGCCGCGGGGCGGAGCACGGAACTGCCCTCAGGGCTCCGGGAGTGGGCTCGTCAGGGCAGGGCAGAGCAGTGCAGAGCAGGAGGAGCGCCTCTCCCGCCCTGCTGGCCGTGCTCCGTCCATCCCAGGGCACTGCTGCCTCAGTGTCGGCCACAGGCCAACATTCATTAACCGTTCATCATCCGTTTGTTAGCTGCTGGTCAACCGTTGGTCAGCCAGGACCCTCATGTCCTTCTCACAGCTCCTCTCCAGCAGCTCAGCCCCAAGCTGTACAGCTCCACGAGGTTATTCCTCCCCGGCTGTGGGACCCTGCACTCCTCCTTGTTGGACCCAAGGATTTCCAGCCCTCACCAAAAGCCAGGCTGGGTTTTTTCATGCTGCCAGCAATGTGTCAGATTCTCTCTGCCAGCCTACATCATGTGATTACCCAGCGTGGTCTGTTGGCTGCAAACTGCATGTCACGTGGCCAAAAAATAAATTAAAAAAAAGAGTAGCTTTCTCTAAAGTGCTACAGCCAAAGGAGCTGAGGGGAATGGTTATCACCTGGCATCGCTTCTACCCGTGGGGAAATCTCCCTTTCTGTCCAGGTGCCTTTCTTTTGGACTGTGCCATGCTTTGATACGCACGGGTTTGTGTTTGATGACAGTTTACGTGGGAATATTTGCTTTTATTTAGGTGTATAAAACCAGTTGTAGGTATGTGACTGCTATTAAATATAACTGTTTGCATGCAGGGTTAAGGGGACAATTTGTCATAACAGCTTTTGTTACCATCTATCAGTGAGCGTGCAATGTGACTGTTTTTGGAGGAGGGAGGAAATGTCTCCATGTTTTCTGACACAAGCCAATGGGATTTACTATGCTCTTGAAGAATGAGACCCTGAGATAACCACTGCTTTATCTACTGTGAGCTTACAATGAATGCCACTGTTATTTTTTTCCTTTTCCCTTCAGGCCATATTTATTCTGCCTTTTCCTGGGTGTTTCTGTTTTGCAACCTTTCCTCTGTAGGTTGGTATTAATGCTGTTGTGTGGCAAGTGCATGAGGCAGATCGTTATCTTCTCGTGGAACTGCAACCTGAAGCAAGCCAAGATTCTTAGAACTGGTTGTGTTCAAGTTCATTAGATAACATTTTAGAGCCAATATTATGTGAAGCAAAAGTTAAGGCAAAATCACATAGGGGCAGATGCTGAGTGTAAGCAAATGTTGCATGTTTAGACTGCATAAAATAATGGACTTTTTTGTTGTTGTTCTTTAACAGCTATAAAGATGGAGTGTTTGGGAAATAGCAGGGTGCCAGGACGAAAACTGATTTCATAAACTTTATCAAAGACCAGGAATGGAAATCCACTGAAGCAGTTTCATCATGGTTTCATCCTTCCTTCTACCTGTAAGCTTTGGTGTGACTCCTGTACTTGTTTGTTGTCAAACAGGCACACTTCAAGGGCAGGGTGGGACAGCTGCAGCACACGTGCACCTCACCTGGTGCAGTTTCCTGAGCCAAGTTTACTTTTAGGTTTCAAATCTTAAAGTGCTATGCGAGATAGAAATGTTACTTTTTTTTGGTGGCTCTATAGGAAGCTTGGTGTTGTTACTTTGCCTGCTTACAGCACTACCTGAATCCGTAAACTGTGCAGTTGAGCTCCTACAAGGGATTTTCTTATTACCCTATGCCAAGAAATGCATGAAATAAAGTGCTTATTTTAGGATTAATAAATTTTCTATTGGAAATGTACAGTACTGGCTCCTTTCTGCATATTGAAGCAGTGTGCAGGCCTCTACTGGTGAATGTTCACTTCTGCAACTCAGTCATTAGAAATTTATGTAGTCTTAATGTTTAGAATTCTCTTTTCTTTTAAGGATAATCAATACTTAATGCTAAAGTTTTATAATAACGGGGAAATGTCAGAACCAGCAGAATATACGTGGCAGATAGCCTGGTCTTCTTTACTTGTGTGTAAATTGCAGCTAAACTCAACTGTCTGAATATCTCTCAGTTCTTATACTTTTTATTCATTAGGCTAATTCTTTGGTTTAGGAAGTGTCCAAATTGCTTAATTAGTGATGTTTTTAATAGAGTTCCAGTTGTTGGGCCATAAATAACTGATGAATTTCTTTTACTTTTGTTTATATTCTGTGTCAGCAGGTTTAAGTCAAGGGATTTTGTCAAGGAATTGGTAGTTGTCCTACGTGGAATTTTGTACAGAGTGGTATCAGTTCTGGAGGTGCTTCATGAGAAATGGGTGCTTACTGAAGTAACAGACAGAATAGAAGATAAAATCAAATTAATCCAAAGGGAAATCAGGCATGATCAGACAGTTGTTCAACGTGCAACTAAATCATGACTCATCAGGCAAATCAGAAGACAATAGATTCTGATTAACTTGGGCATTTTCACGTACACTTTCCTGCTTTGTTTCAGGATGAGCAGTATATCAGCTTTGTGTCAGATGTCAGCATGGATCAGGGTGTGAGCTTCTGTTGACTTTATTTCAATATTTATTTCAATATTTATGATAGTCATTCTTGAAATGATTCTCCTGCCTTTTGTTCCAGTGCTGCCATGGTTATTTAACAGGAAGCATTGGAATGCAGATCTGGGGCTCGTACTCTGTGTTCCTGTTGGCAACTCTCTTCTCAGGACTGATACTGCAACTTGTAAGTGAACCACTTGAAGCAGATCAGTTTGTGTCTGCTGCGTGCCTTTGGTTTAACCTTATCTTTCTTCCATTTCAGACAATGGTGTTCTTAGCAGACTGCCTCTGTGCTTCTAAAAAACACAGGCCAGCACAGTACCCTTATTCAAGTAAGCACATTGTATGCTTTTAGTTCAGTGAAGCTGTTGGGTAAATCTTAATAAAAATGGGTATATAACTTGTGTCTGCAGAATAGGAGGTTTAGGGAAGAATTTTCATGTGTGATTTGTGCTTTCTTTAACTGCAGCTACTTGCCTTTTATGGTTTATATCGAGATTGTGTATGTAGCTAATAGTAAACTATTTCTTCAAAATAATTCTTTAGGTGATAGAAAAGTACCATGTTTCATTCCTGCAAGCTGTGAAATGCACGGGAGATAGAATAAAGTTGAATCACTGCCTTCTCTTCTGGAGTTCTCAGTTTTGAAGAGTTGGGGGATTTGTCTCTTGTTGAGGAGCAAAGTGTCACAGAACTGTAGGGGTTGGAAGGGACCTCTAGGGATCATTGAGGCCAACTCCCTGCAGAGCGACTTCCTACAGCAGGCTGCACAGCTTGGCTGCTAGCCTGTTCCTCTAACCTGGAAGACAGCACACCTCTCTGGAGATATTATCTGTGTGGCACCTGGGAGCCTCAGTGCCCCCCATCAAAGAGTCCCCAATAACTAAGACTCTCTGCCCTTTTTTGGTGGCACTGGTACTGATGCAGTGCCCCGATTGGCCCTGATCCCTATGCTTGTTACTCCGTGTTATCAATATGCTTCTCAGGGCTGGGTTCTGACTGCTTTCCAAACTGCTGTCCAGCCCAGGATCCATTACTCAGGGGCACTTCAGGGGTTCTCTATAGCAGAGAAGCAAAACTGCAGCTGTTTCCATGGAAAGAAAAATGCTGTAACACTATAGTGAGTGAGCCATTTGTGAGGCATTGCTGTGAAAAGACAAGTTTAAATAATTCCTTGGACTGAAGTTGCACTGAGATACTTGTGGTCTCTAGTTGGGACTGGTTTGGATATCTCATGGCCGTTTGAGTCATTTGGGTTAGATGATTTTTATGGTTTGGGAAAGAGCTTTCATGCATACCAGGCTTTGAGTGATGGCTGGCGGGTGGGGGGGAATGTATTCTTGTGTTGCAAAAAGAATGTGGGCCAGTTGACAAACGATGTTTAAAATTCAGTTCTTTGTAACTTCTTTGCATTTGCCAAAAATCCTGCTGCATATGGATGCAAATCATCACTGCTACAGACTGCTTCCTCCTCTTGTCCACCTACACACAGTATATCAAACCCTACCAGCCGTGGTGGCCAACACCGGTGTGTTTGTCTTGGAGTAGGATGCTCAAATGAGGATTGGCCGAGTTCTGCAATGAAAGATCCTTGGCAGGGGGAACAAATCAACACAAGGTATGCTCAGCAGCCCGAGCCAGCGTTCAACTGCTGGCTTTTCTCAGCAGAGTGTCTGTTTTGCCTCTGCTTCCTTGGTCTTTCCTCCATCTCTTCCCTTACAGTGTATAAGAACAGGGCAGTGTTGTGGCTGCTCTTGGTGCGTGTGCAGTTAGCTGGAAAAAGGCAGTGATGCTCACTGCATTTTCTCCTCAACAGGAACAAGGAATTTGTATGGCCTGGGGAGTGAGTGAATGCTCATACAAGCCCAACTTCCCTCCTTTTCCATTCTATTTATTATGTATGACAGAAAGTAATAGCCAGTCCAAAGGGAAAACAGCTAAAAGTTGAGCTGAAATGGATAATTAAAATAGTTGGGATTAGCTTTAAGAGAAACAATGAAGTAGCTGTCTGGCAGTTTGTATTTGCCAGCTTGTCAGTTAGCCATAGGCCTGGTTTTGAAATGGGCAGAGTTCCATTTGTGGCAAAAATCAACAGGAAAGGGGAAAACTCAATATGTTGTAGCACTGTTTCTGTGTTTAGAAATAAGAGAATACAACTTTGATAGTAATTCAAAGACTCTTTTACTTAGAGGTGAGAGAATGTGCCTGGTGACACTGTCTTGCCTCCTTTTCTGCATCAGCTGAAGGTCTGGGTCTGTCTCACAGCACAGTGAGGCTGTCTGCCTTGTGGATGCCATTGCACAAGGTTTGTTCTGCACTGGTGAGGCTCAGATCTGCCACGAGCACAGTCACATCAATCTGTGCCATCTGACTCCTCGGGCTGTCCAACACTGCTGACAAATCACAGCATGTATCTGTCTTGGAATCTGCCAAACAAAGAGAAAAACTCGAGGAGGCCAAGTGCTGTGTTTGTATGGCCTGAATTCCATTGATGTGCTTTGTCAAGTCACGGGGGAGAAGAGCCCAGAGCCCCTAGAAGTGCTGGCACAGAGCAATGGGCAGGATGTGAGCTGGATGTGGTCTTCGGGGTTGACAGCTGCACTGCTGGAGAAGCTGGAGTGCAGGAATGAGTGAGCACAGTGGGGATGTTCTTGGCCTTGTCTTTTGGCTCTCAGGCAGGTGTGATGCTGCTGCTTCATGGCAATGAGGAAGGGCTGAGTGAATCCTTCCCTTATCACTGAGCTTGGCTGGTGTGTTCATGTGGGCTGTTCAGCCTCTGAGGCTTCCAGGAAAATGTCACACGTTTCCCTTGTTGAATTTTCCTTACTGTTTACTGGGCTCCAAACCTGATTTCTTAGGTGACTGGAAAAGTGTCTTGGCTTTGAGGATAAGTAACCATGTCCTCCTCTCCTCATCTCCTGGGCAGGAGCTCAGCTTTTGTTGGAGGTTTCTCTATTTTCTTTGGCAAAAATGAAAAGAAAGAGCCCTGCTGGGGTCTGCTGGCCCCTGGGGGGGAGCTGTTTGGCTCGGTGCTTTACTGGAGCTCTGAGCGATGACTAAATCCACCCAAATCCCAGTCTTGATGCTGCAGAGACCTTGCTGGGCTGGAGGAGCACGGGGCCAGGTCAGAGGCATAATAAAACATCTTTTTTTTTTTCTTTAGGAACTGCTGACTAAATAACCCTTGGCTAGATTTATGTAGAGCGCATGATATCCTGATGTCCTGTGGTCACTTCTGAAAACACCTCATTTGTTTTCTGCTCACCCAGGAAATCATGAAGCTTGGCTGCTGCTATGACAGTGATTTCAGCTCCAAAATTGTGAAATCTGGGGCAGGATCTTGAGAGATGTATCTGGCCATGTGCACACTTGTGGAGCTCATGGGCATTGCTCTTTGGGTTTGTCTCTTGCAGTTGTGCAGTTGGCCATGAGCCGATGTTCCTCACCAAAGCTCAAACATCCCAGACAGAGATCTGCTCCATTTGGAGCACGGATCTGTTTGTAAAGGACTTTGGAACATGTCTCACCATGGTTTATTCCAGCTTTACCCTGGAAAGTAGTGGAAGAAGTTGTTGGGTTGTAAGAAGGGAATCAAGCAAGGAGAATCATGGGGCCATTCAGTTTGGAGAAGACCTCCAACATCTCTTTCCCATCCCACTGTGCCCACTGCCCACATCCCTCAGTGCCACATCCCCACAGCTCTGGAACACCTGCAGGGACCCTACCACTCCCTGTGCATCTGTGCCAGCACCTCATCACTCTTTTGGAGAAGAAATTGTTCCTAATATCCGGCCTTGGAGATGCACTTAAAGCTTGCTTGGACCAGTGTTATTACTGAAGGAAATCTACAGCAAGACCAGAAATAATTTCATAGCTTAACAGAGCATGGCAAAAGAATGAAACAAACCAGTTTAAGTAATTTTAGTTGGGAGTTGATAGATGTGCATACGGTGGGTACAGGGCCAAGCTGTGCCAATTTATGGTATGGTACCTCATCCCTGGAGGTGCCCAAGGCCAGGATGGAAGGTGCCATGGGCACCCTGAGCTGGCAGTACCTAATGCAGGGGTTGGTAACCCTAGTTTGGAACTAGACGATCTTAGAGATGATCTTCCACCCCAACCATTCTTTGATCTCAGCGCTGCTTCGCACACTGCGCATTGCCCTTGGCCAGGGCCTGGCTGGGGAAACAGCAGTCAGCTGGTGGCAGCAGAGCCGTGCAGTGTGCAAGCTGCTCGCAGAGCTGGTTTTGTCAGGGTTTGCTCCCTGCAAAGCCTGGGGCTTTGTCACCGCCTGGAAAGGCTGGGGGAGAATGGAGCTGCAGTGCTGCCCTCGGGCTGGGGGCTGCTGCATCTGGCTGCTTCATCCGTCCCTTCTCTCTCCTCGCTGCCTCTCCCAGTTCCGACACGTATTCCTGCCCATCGGGCCCAGCCCACGTCTGTTGTTTCTGGCTGGATCTGCAGAAGCTGTTTATTTACAAATCTCTCCAGAATTGGCCTCTTTTGGTTCAAACTGACGCGGGCGTTGCTTGAAGGAAAGCTGATTTTTGACAGTCAGCGTGAGGATGGGAACAGATGGAGGCTTTGATGCATTAGGTATCTCCGAGTGTTGTCCTCCTGCAAATCAGCTTGGTTTTCTCCATTAGCATAAGAAGCAGGAAAAAGGATTTCATTTCTCCAAACGTTTCCCCTTACCCCACCTCTCCAGCTCAGAGATGCGTATTGCTGCGTACCAGCAAAGCGGCTCAGCTCCTTCTGCAGAGAAGCAGCAGCAGTTCCCAATCCATCGCTGGCACTTCTCCCTCCCTGGGGTGCGTGCTGTGCTCTCCACCATGGGATGCTAAAACGAGAGCCTTCCTGGGGCCGTGAGTCATCTGCAGTGTGAATTACTCGTTCTGCTTCGCCGAGAGCAGGAGAGATCTGAGCGGGGCCACGCTTACTCACGGCTGCTCTTCCATCACAGCCAACTCAGGGCAATGCAGGCAGCGCAGATGCGGAGAGCGCGGCTGCACTGTGAATTATTGATAAGGGAATAACAGCACTGGGAGATAATCTCTGGTGGAGCACGGAGAGTAAATCTCTGCACAGGGAGTGAGTGTCCCCGTTAGGAGAGTTTCTCCTAGGCAGGGGATAGCAGCAGCAAAAGGTTTTGCTTGAGTGCAGTGCGCAGAAACAGGCTCCATGCAGCATTTCAGGGAAGGAGTTTGGCTGGGAGAGGGACAGTTGTACCCCCAGGCCCTGCTCTTCCTTTGGGAATGTCAAAATATGCAGCTGAGAGCTGCAGGTCCTCCAGGAGGAGGTCATTGAGTCACTGCAAATGAAGTTGGCACCCCATTGGCACCAGCCTGCTTTTCTCCACGTGGACAGATGGGGGTGCCTGCTCTTGCCCAACCCAAAATGGGTGAGCAGGGATGCCCATATCCATAGACTCATGGAATCACAGAATGGTTTGAGTTGAAAGGAGGCTCTAAAGGCTGTCTGGTCCCACTCCCATGGCTCTATCAGGTGCTCAGCCTGACCTTGGCTGTTTGTGGGGACAGAAGCATCCTAACCCCATGGATGCCATGCCAGTCTGGCCCTATGGCTCCCATCACACCTGCTGCTCCAGCTGCTGAGTGCCAGGGGCCATGTCTCAGTTACTCTGCATGGCACAGGGCAGGAAGCATGCTGGCAGTGTAGGGCTGGGTGAATGCCCCCAGTGAAAGCACCATCTGTGACATGCACACATCACCTGCACCGACTTGATGCTGTCTGCTGCCCCAGCCTTGCTTTGCTGGCTGGCCATCTGCTTTCTTCATAATGGGTTTGCACCATCTGTAGCATTGACAGCCCCGTAAATTTCACAGAGCAATGGATGTCAGTGCTGGAACTTAATTTCCCACCATATCATAGAATCACAGAATGGCTTGGGTTGGAAGGGACCTCAAGGATCACAAAGCTCCAACCCCCCACCACAGGCAGGGCCACCAACCTCCACATCTCACAGCAGCCCAGGCTGCCCAGGGCCCCATCCAACCTGGCCTTGAACACCTCCAGGGATGGACGGGGCATCCACAGCCTCTCTGGGCAGCTGTTCCAGCACCTCACCACTCTCACAGCAAACAACTTCCCCCTAATGTTCAATCTGACACCTGCTGATGCACTGTGTTGAATTGAGTGCCATGAAGCCTTTGTGGATCTCAGAGATCTTTTCCAATGTTAAGAACTCAGTAATTGCAGGGGTTTGGATCTGGACTAGGAGGAAGGCTGTGAGTGCCTTTGGAAACTGCTTTTAACCAATAGTTCCCATCCTGGCCAATGCTGTGATGCAGAGCACCCCCTGGAGCAGGATGTGATTTAAGGCAGCCCCGTTGCTGAATGATGGGAGCTGCTGGTGCAAATGGCTTCAGGGTTTGTTTGCTGAAGAATGGAGTACCAAGGGATCCCAGGGTGGGAGGCATTGCCTCACAGAGGTTGTGTTAAATGTGCAGCAGCCAGCTCACTAACAGCAGGTTTTGACCCACAAGCCTGGCATTTTCAGGGCTCTCAGCCCATTTCCAAAGTCTGAGCTAATTAGCTGGAGGGGACGGCCACCAGCTCCAGGAATTGCCTTGGAAAGGATGGATAAATGGGGAGGAAGAGGCGGAGGAGCCGTGCTTCCCACGAGGCCATGAACAAAGTGCTGCTCTGTTCCCTCGCAGAGCTGTGCTGGTGCTGCTCCCATCCCGTGGGATGTGTGCCCATCACAGCAGCCCTGTGCATGCTGATGGTTGATAGGTTGGGGGTTGGATTGGGTGATCTTAGAGGGCTTTTCCAGCCTCTACGATTCTATGATTCCATGACCAGCTCCCATCTGGCACTGGGCTGCTCACCCGCTTGCTGGTGAGCACTGCATATAGGGCTTTGCTCTTTCTGGGTGCTGACCTCTCTGATTTCTTCAGCTGGCTGCTGCCTCCAGCACATCTATGGAATTTTGGGGTCCTGGGCACATTTTCTTGGAGAGAGAGAGGAGCTGAGGGTGAGGACACAAGCACAGGAAGGTCACGTCCCGCTGCAGCCTCCCAAGTGACTCACACAGCCTCTATCTCTACCTGTAAAACGGGCACAGCAGGATGGTTTTGTCTTTGCAAGGCTAAATTCCTTAGCTGTGAGGAGTTCTGCATTGATTTCAGTAACTTTTGTCGGTGCTGAGACCTGGCACTTGCTGTAGCTCTGCAGCCTGCCCTTGGGCATCCATGACTCTCCAGGGGCAGCGTTGGCATGGCACCATTGGCTTTGTGCTCCTGTTCTGGGGAAGGCTTTTGCCTTTTGTTGGGCAGGAGGTGTTGGGCTCATCCTGATGGGCAGGGATGGGGATGGAGCTGGGGAGCCCCGTGGTGCAGTGCGGGGTGCTGCGCGCCCACTCTGAAGTTATTAATAAAATTCACAAATGCTTCAAGATCAAATCCCCGTGTCAGCTTGGCTCATCAATTCTTCAGCAACTTCTCTTTGCCAGTCCCTTTGAAGGGATTATTTAAATATGCGCGGCGCTCTTCAGACATCCCATAAATAAATCTGTGTCATGAGGGGTCACGGCGCATCCGGCGTGCTTCTGGTCTGCAAATAGCGCATCCCTGCTCCTGCCTGGTGGCTCTGCAGCCTGCGTGCACAGAGCTTGTGCTGAACATCTCAGAGCACGTTGAATAGTTCAGCAGCAGGAGGAGAAGAAAACATGGAGAGCTGTGGGTGCCCCATCCCTGGAGGTGCCAGAGGCTGTGGATGAGCCCCCAGCTTGAGCTAGGGGGGCACCCAGCCCATGGCAGGGGTTGGAGCTGGATGGTCATTGAGGTCCCTTCCAACCTAAGCACTCTGTGATTCTGTGAACACTGTGTGCTTTTTCCCTTGATGGTGTCCTCTTTGGCCCTGCCTGCTTACTGCAGAAGCAAATCGCTAAAGCCATGCTACCATTCCACCAAGTCACAGGACGGTTGAGGTTGGCAGGGTCCTCTGGGTCCCTTTGGCTCAGCCCTGCCCCAGCAGGGACACCCAGAGCTGTGCCCTGTGTCCAGGTTACTTCTGATGATCTCCAAGGAGGAGATTCCACAACCTCTCCGGTCCCCGTGCCAGAGTTTCGTGACATCTTTCCCATATGGAGGTGGAATCAATGGAGGGGTGGATGGAGCCAACAGTGAAACCCATCCAAGAGGCTGATGACAGCTGGGAGGTGCTGACCCTGCCAACATGCAGATGGATGCAATGAACCAAACCCACGTCCCACTGCCACAGCAGTGGGTCACAAGGAAGCAGCAGCACTTGGGGGCACTAGCACAGCTGCACCTGGCCTCTCCTCCTCCATGAAGATGAACTCAGCTCATTTTCTTGCAGAAGATAAAGAGAAGAAAAGAAAAAAAAGAGGCAAAGCAAACACCTCGGCCTTTGTTTGGGCAGAAAACAGCCGCAGCCCACTCAGATGGAATTTATTTTGCGCTCGGTAATTCAATCCATTCGGGCTCAGGATGTGGCTGGGAGAGCTGAGCCAAAAAATGCAAGTTTAAAGCAACTAAATTTTATGCTGTGTATACAGTTGAGTTTGGGTTTGGCCGAGGCGAGAAGTTTCCGTGTTTTTTTGCAATTTCTGTTGTAGCAACAAACTCCTTGTGCAATGGAGGGGCTGGAACTGTGGCCGGAGAGAGGGGCTCAAGAGGAATGGACTCATGTGGTCTCAGTGTAATGGGATGAGACACGTTCTCTTTGCTGGTGTCCTTTTTGCTGCCATCTGCATTTATCAGCATGGTGAGGGCTGGGAAAGCCGAATAATTGAATGATTTGGGTTGGAAGGGACCTCAAAGATCATCCAGTTCCAGTCCCTACTGTAGCCTCGGGCACCTCCAGGGTTGGAGCATCCACAGCTCCGGGCACTGCAGGGCCTCACTTCCCTCTGGATAAAGAATTTCCCCCTCACATCTAATCCAAATCTCCCCTCTTATAGTTTAAGGCCATTCCCCCTTGTCCTACTGGTCACAGCCACCACCACCTCCATGACCGTGCGTCCAACCCCGCATAACAGAACATCTCCACAGGCTGGCCCCTAAACTGTTAACACATTAATTACGAGAAGAAAGAGGAGTCAGTCCCATTAAGCTCACCATCTGTTTTAATTACCCACTAATGCTCGCGGAAAGCTTTGTACACACTCTAATTGCATAATTAAAACGAGCTGTTGGGAGATAGATGGCACGGAGATGGCTGGGGCGAGGGACACGTCCTTGCTCCTCTTGCAGCAGCATCCTAATTAAGAGGGAGCAGTAAAGTGCGTCCTTTTGGGGCTGAGTATAGCAAATTCTTCAAATCCTGCATTTCCAGCCCAAATCCTGTAGTAGGAATAGTAGGACTTCTTTGTTTTGTTCGTTGTTCATGTTGTTCTTTCTTCTTCCATCTTCTTTTTCCCACACCGCTAGCACTTTCTCGTTCCCCGCAAACCCACTCGATGGATTAACACAACACATTTCTCCATTAAACCTCTGATCTGTGCTGAGAAAACACGATGAAGTCATTGCGAGTCCCGAAAACAGGAAGGAGTCCGCCCTCCTTGGAGCTCAGAGAGAGCTCTGCAGCCAGGAGGAGGCCCAGAGCACAAGTGTTTGTGGGCAAAACCTGCCTCCTGCAACCTGCCCACGTGGATTGGGCTGTCGGTGAGTTCATGATGAGTGATGCACTGGGACATAATTAGGGAATAACTCGCTGCAGCGGCTCTGCTTCAGCACAGCTGTGATGGGAGGATTTTGCCCTACACCATGCCACCATGACAGCATCCTACAGGCTGCTGTTTGGCCATAGAGTGATTCTAATATCCAACCCGAACCTTCTCTGGTGCAATTAAAGGCCATGACCACTCGTCCTATCCATGCTGTCCATGTGCATCCAAGAGATCCAAGGGCTGGATCCATGCCGTCATGGTGGAGGAGGTTTGCTGTCTCTGTGGAACTACTGCCAAGGGGATCAGAATTTGGGTTGGGCACAAGTTTCCCAAAAAATAGTTGAGAAAGCTGTTGTGACCAAGGGGAGAGCTTTGTGTGCAATAGCACCTAGACCTGCAGTGCCCAGAACTCCTGGCCATCCCCCATGTGCATCCCCACATGTTGCAGATCTATGAGCAGATTTCCACAGTGGTTCTGCATATGCCACATTTGGGGCTCTGGGAAGTGAGAGGTGCTTAAAGTGAGAGATGCTTACTGAAGCATCCAAGGTGGTGGGTGCTCCAGCTCAACCCCCAACGCAGCCACTGAACCCCAAAACAGAAGCCTCTGGGTAAGCCAACGTGTTGCTCCTGCAGCAGCACACAACGTCCATTGGTTTTCCCCATTCTGGGCTCCCTTGCCCACAGATCTCTCAGCAATCTGCCAGCCTGCTTGCAGGCAGAAAATCCCATGCATGGCTTAGATCTGCTGTATTTGGGCATGGGAGAAAAAGGACAGAACATTTGGATGCAGGTTTCATCTTTTTCTAACTCCTCTCCTGCGTATATTAAAATTAATTCAGCTAAGCGTTGGAGTGAAATAGTTGACAGCTTTTTCTTTAGAACATACTGAAATAGGACTTTTTGGCTAACCCCAAACTCTTGGAAACACGTTCAGCCTGCAGGCTGTCAAACTATTTCACCCCATGGGTCAAAACCATCGAATGGCCTGTGTTGAAAAGGACCACAATACTCACAATACGCCGTTTCAACCCCCTGCTATGTGCAGGATCGCAACCACCAGACCAGGCTGCCCAGAGCCATGAAGCATCTTCTAGAAAGCATCTTCCTCCTTTTGGAGAAGGTCCTGCTGGGGAGGTCCACCAGCAGTACCCAAAATGTAATTCAGAGCCCTTGGGTCCTTCAGCCATGCATGGCCAACACTTGGCCTGCAGAAGGAGATGTGCATAGGAGCAGAGCAAATGTCCAGGGCTTTATGTCTATGAAACACCACAGCAGCATGGATGCTCTTGGGGTA